AGTACGCCGTCTACCTCACGCACGATCTGAGCATGCTCCGTCTGATCGAAACCTTCTGTGAGAGCGCTCCTCAGCTCATCCTGATGATCTACGTCATGCTGCGCACCAACAAGGCCAAAACCGTTCAGTGTGAGTCCTCCTTCCCCTTGTTTGACCCAAACGCACATCAGCTGCTAAACGTGGGGTGAAAGGTCAGCCGGACCTCCGGGGAGACTGGAGCCCCGTTGACACTTGCTGTGTGTGTCTCTGTAGTTGTGAGCGTCGCCGCATCCACCACCTCCATCGCCTGGATGGTGGTGGACTACCACCGCTCCCTGCGGGCCTTCCTCCCGGATAAAGCCAAGCAGCGCTGGGGTTCCTCTCTGATCTACTTCCTGTGGAACCTGCTGCTGATTGGTCCTCGTTTGGCCGCTCTCGCCCTCTTCTCCTCTGTGCTGCCCGGTTTCATCGCTCTTCACTTTGCTCTGCTGTGGCTCGTCTTCTTCATCTGGGCGTGGAGACAGAGGACGGACTTCATGGACAGCGCCGCGGGGGAGTGGCTTTACCGCTCCACGGTGGGGCTCATCTGGTATTTCAGCTGGTTTAACGTGGCGGAGGGCCGGACGCGCAGCCGGAGCCTCATCTATCATTCCTTCATCATCGTGGACGGAGTGGTCCTGCTGGTGACCTGGTGGTTCTACAGAGACCCGGTTGGAGCAGAACCATACGCCCTGGTCCTGCTGCTTGCTCTTCCTCTCACCTACCTCCTGGGCCTCCTGCTCAAAGCCTTCTACTACTGCTGCTTCCACCCTAAACTGTGGCGGCCCGCGGACGGACAGAGCAGGCTGCCCGATGATCTGCCCGACGCCGACGTGTCCCTCCGAGACTTTTCCATCCAGGACCAAGCGCCGTCCTGCCAGCTGCTCAACAAACGCATGGCCCGCCTGGCTGCCAACTTCTACACAAAGCAACCAGTGGTGAGAAGGTCTGAGGGAGCGAGCGGAGCCCAGTCCTCGTGTTGGTGACGTCTGATCCAGTCTGAACCGGTCCTGGTCCTGTCTGGGTTTAGACACATGAAACTCTGAGCAGGCCTGAAACTTTTAGTTCTGACCGGTAAACTTCTGTTGGTTCCAGTTCAGAGTCCAGCTGCTGCCTCCTGGAGGTTCTGGAGAACCCAAAAGCGGTTTAGTTTAAACTCTCTTAGAAATAATAATGATGTGTGTGTGTGTGTGTGAACTGATCTCCAGAACCGCCGCCGCGGTGACTCAGCAGGTTTGTAGCAGCAGCCCGTGGGAGCGTGTTTAGATGAGGGCATTCTAGAATGAATGACTTGATGCAGCCGCTCTGTTGATGTTTCCTCACACAGCCGAGGTTGGCATCACCCGCCGTGCACCGCGGCTGTTTTGTAACCTGTTCTCGTGTTTGTTAGCGATGGTCTGTGGACCACGGCTAACGTAGCGGGCGAAGGCTCGTGCTAGCATTCCAGCTAATAAAGATAATAAAGTCTTCTGCAGCGTTACTGATGCTTACATCTTCAGTCATCCGTTCCTCCTCAGGTAAACGACTGCAGTCACAGTCCAAGGCCTCCTTTATGCCTGCGATCTGTTGGAGAATGACCAATCATATAAGAGCATTAGATCCTTGGTGCCCCCCCAAGTCAGCCAGCAGTCATGTGATGACCGTGGGCTCTGGCGAGGTGGACCACCCTCCGGACCAGAGGGATGAAGTCATTACCAGACAGGACGCTCTTGACTTCCTGTCTGGAGAAATGAAGGTTAGACCTTAGTGAACATTCCCACCAAGGACTTCGTTATTCCCAAAGGGAACTTTAGAGGTTGTGCTCTGGGGAACTAGGGTTAGGCATGGTCATCTAACCAGTTACCTTCGTCATAGTTTCACAGAAGAAGTGGTATCCATCCTCCAAGCAGAAGAAAGGAGCTGATCTGTGGCCCCATACACCACCTACAGGAGGAGCATCCACTGTCTGCTCACCACAAAAAGCACATGTTGCCATAGCAACGCATCTTCATCCCGGTTAGGTTGTTCCCTGGATGGGCTGAAGGTTTAGGGCTGATTCTGACCAACTTCCTAAAGACAAATAAACTCTGAACTACTTCAGAACCGGGCAAGGACAAACTGGACCTTCACTCTGGTGAATATGCAAGCCTGGCCCGGTTCTGAGGGACCTTTTCCATCCAGTGTTCTGGAACTGGGCCAAAAGAAGACAAATGTGAAGCCAGAGCTGTTCTGGTGTTACTGGTAACAGATTTCAAACCAACAAATTATTTTGTTTCTCACTTGAAAAGCAGGAAGAAAAAGTCTGATTAATGGAACTCAGGTGTGGCAGCACCATGAGGGACGACCTGCTGGGGGTCGCCAACTCTTCTGCCATCAGCTGTTGACCTTTGACCTCATTCAGCAGCGTGATGAGTTCAGTTGTCGGTGTATGTGTTTTTGTACGTGTGTGTATAAATCATCGACATAAAAATTGGACAATGGGTTTCCATAGACCCAATAACACGCTTTTGAAGATAAATGGGAGGTGGCCACCACCGCCATTTTGACCGTGTCACAGGTTCCGTCAAGCCCAGACAATTCCATAAAAGGGAAGAGAGGAGGAGCTGAGGGTGGGGCTGTAAGGCTGGGATCAACTGACGACACCCGGTCGGACTAGCTACAAGCTAACCTGAAGCTAACCCAAAGCTAACGCGGAGGTGGGAGCTAAGCTAACGGAGGTAGCAACCTAGCTACAACCGGAGTTAACTGTGCACAACACCAGAGCTTCTGAGTCAGAGATACGCCGGGCTGACCGCTGGGTAAAACCGGGTGGAACACAGAGGTCTCCCGAGAGCTCCACAAGCCGATAGTGGGAACCCAGCTCCACCAACATGTTATATTTCAACCCATTTTCTAAAGTGCAGCATTATGTTAAACGCACTGGGTTTTACCCTATTACATTTAAATGTCATGGTTAAACAGTACATGTTAAAATCTAAGCTCAGCTCGGCAGTGACCTAAAATACATAAATATAATTTTACTTACCGAAAAAATGAAGTGGAGACTCCTTGGACGCTCTATTAGTGCAATTAATGCCACAGCAAGTCATTTTGTCCAACAATTGCACAAATAATATCCAAAACAGAATACACAAACACAGAGACTCAAAATCCCGGAGCAGTTTCCAGGCCAGACCGAGGCTCTACTGAGGCCTTTTCCCGGAGCTAGCTCTGTGGTCACGTGGGTCTGATGCTCATTAATTATACAGAATTTTGGGCTTTTAATACACTTAAACAGAAGAGTGAGAAAAACATTCAGCCCCCTCAGAGTTGTCATGAGTGTAAACTAGATCATTTAAACCAAAAACATGTTCTGGTACCAGGCTGTAAACATGTTTATTTCTGCTGTGAAATTGGTATTTTTAACATGGGAGTCAATGAGGATTTGCTGCTTCTGACACCAGCCCCTAGTGGATGAGGGTGGAACTGCAATTTTCTTACGTCCGGGTAGGGCTCAATTTTTGAGCCGCATTGTGGGGGCTTGATATAAATGCGTGTGTGCGCATAAATGTATGTGTGTGCGCATGTGTGTTCAAATGTGTGTATGTGTGTGTTTAAATGTGTGTGTGTGTGTGTGCATAAATGCGTGTGTGTGTGTGTGTGTGTGCATAAATGCATGTGTGTGTGTGTGTGTGTGCATGGCAGTGTGGGAGGAGTCTTGAACATTTCTGGTTTTCTGTTTCAGGTGCTACTGGCCGTGAAGGACCTTGAAGGTAAAGATGGCCTCCTGCTGCTGCCAAGATGATGGTGAAGCCTGACAGCAGCAAGTCTGAAATGTGTTACAGCTGTCTCCCATGTGCAGCTGTCTCCACATGCAGCTGTCTCCCATGTGCAGCTGTCTCTATATGCAGCTGTCTCCCATGTGCAGCTGTCTCCACATGCAGCTGTCTCCCATGTGCAGCTGTCTCTACATGCAGCTGTCTCTATATGCAGCTGTCTCCCATGTGCAGCTGTCTCCCATGTGCAGCTGTCTCCACGTGCAGCTGTCTCCACGTGCAGCTGTCTCCATGTGCAGCTGTCTCTATGTGCAGCTGTCTCCACGTGCAGCTGTCTCCCATGTGCAGCTGTCTCCACGTGCAGCTGTCTCTAAGTGCAGCTGTCTCCACGTGCAGCTGTCTCCCATGTGCAGCTGTCTCTATATGCAGCTGTCTATGTGCAGCTGTCTCCCATGTGCAGCTGTCTCTATGTGCAGCTGTCTCCACATGCAGCTGTCTCCACGTGCTGCTGTCTCCCATGTGCAGCTGTCTCCCATGTGCAGCATTCTCTATATGCAGCTGTCTCTATGTGCAGCTGTCTCCCATGTGCAGCTGTCTCCACATGCAGCTGTCTCTATGTGCAGCTGTCTCCACGTGCAGCTGTCTCCCATGTGCAGCTGTCTCTATGTGCAGCTGTCTCTATGTGCAGCTGTCTCCCATGTGCAGCTGTCTCTATGTGCAGCTGTCTCCCATGTGCAGCTGTCTCTATATGCAGCTGTCTCTATGTGCAGCTGTCTCCCATGTGCAGCTGTCTCTATGTGCAGCTGTCTCCACATGCAGCTGTCTCCACATGCAGCTGTCTCCCATGTGCAGCTGTCTCCACGTGCTGCTGTCTCCCATGTGCAGCATTCTCTATGTGCAGCTGTCTCCACGTGCAGCTGTCTCTATATGCAGCTGTCTCTATGTGCAGCTGTCTCCACGTGCAGCTGTCTCCCATGTGCAGCTGTCTCCACGTGCAGCTGTCTCTATATGCAGCTGTCTCTATATGCAGCTGTCTCCACATGTGCAGCTGTCTCCCATGTGCAGCTGTCTCTATATGCAGCTGTCTCCCATGTGCAGCTGTCTCCACGTGCAGCTGTCTCCATGTGCAGCTGTCTCTATGTGCAGCTGTCTCCACGTGCAGCTGTCTCCCATGTGCAGCTGTCTCCACATGCAGCTGTCTCTATATGCAGCTGTCTCCCATGTGCAGCTGTCTACCATGTGCAGCTGTCTCTATATGCAGCTGTCTCCCATGTGCAGCTGTCTCCACGTGCAGCTGTCTCTATATGCAGCTGTCTCCCATGTGCAGCTGTCTCTATATGCAGCTGTCTCCCATGTGCAGCTGTCTCCACGTGCAGCTGTCTCTATGTGCAGCTGTCTCCCATGTGCAGCTGTCTCTATATGCAGCTGTCTCCCATGTGCAGCTGTCTCCACGTGCAGCTGTCTCTATGTGCAGCTGTCTCCACGTGCAGCTGTCTCTATATGCAGCTGTCTCCACGTGCAGCTGTCTCCCATGTGCAGCTGTCTCTATATGCAGCTGTCTCCCATGTGCAGCTGTCTCCACGTGCAGCTGTCTCTATGTGCAGCTGTCTCCACGTGCAGCTGTCTCTATGTGCAGCTATCTCCCATGTGCAGCTGTCTCTACATGCAGCTGTCTCCCATGTGCAGCTGTCTCTACATGCAGCTGTCTCCACATGTGCAGCTGTCTCCCATGTGCAGCTGTCTCTATATGCAGCTGTCTCCCATGTGCAGCTGTCTCTACATGCAGCTGTCTCCCATGTGCAGCTGTCTCTACATGCAGCTGTCTCCCATGTGCAGCTGTCTCTATGTGCAGCTGTCTCTATGTGCAGCTGTCTCCCATGTGCAGCTGTCTCTACATGCAGCTGTCTCCCATGTGCAGCTGTCTCCCATGTGCAGCTGTCTCTATGTGCAGCTGTCTCTATAAGCAGCTGTCTCCCATGTGCAGCTGTCTCTATGTGCAGCTGTCTCCCATGTGCAGCTGTCTCTATATGCAGCTGTCTCTATGTGCAGCTGTCTCCCATGTGCAGCTGTCTCTATGTGCAGCTGTCTCCACATGCAGCTGTCTCCCATGTGCAGCTGTCTCCACGTGCTGCTGTCTCCCATGTGCAGCTTTCTCCCATGTGCAGCATTCTCTATGTGCAGCTGTCTCCACGTGCAGCTGTCTCTATATGCAGCTGTCTCTATGTGCAGCTGTCTCCACGTGCAGCTGTCTCCCATGTGCAGCTGTCTCCACGTGCAGCTGTCTCTATATGCAGCTGTCTCCACATGTGCAGCTGTCTCTATATGCAGCTGTCTCCCATGTGCAGCTGTCTCCACGTGCAGCTGTCTCCCATGTGCAGCTGTCTCTATATGCAGCTGTCTCCCATGTGCAGCTGTCTCCACGTGCAGCTGTCTCTATATGCAGCTGTCTCCACGTGCAGCTGTCTCCCATGTGCAGCTGTCTCCACGTGCAGCTGTCTCTATGTGCAGCTGTCTCTATATGCAGCTGTCTCTATGTGCAGCTGTCTCTATATGCAGCTGTCTCCCATGTGTAGCTGTCTCCACGTGCAGCTGTCTCTATGTGCAGCTGTCTCCACGTGCAGCTGTCTCTATGTGCAGCTGTCTCCCATGTGCAGCTGTCTCTACATGCAGCTGTCTCCCATGTGCAGCTGTCTCTACATGCAGCTGTCTCCACATGTGCAGCTGTCTCCCATGTGCAGCTGTCTCTATATGCAGCTGTCTCCCATGTGCAGCTGTCTCTACATGCAGCTGTCTCCCATGTGCAGCTGTCTCTACATGCAGCTGTCTCCCATGTGCAGCTGTCTCCCATGTGCAGCTGTCTCTACATGCAGCTGTCTCCCATGTGCAGCTGTCTCTATATGCAGCTGTCTCCACGTGCAGCTGTCTCTATATGCAGCTGTCTCCCACGTGCAGCTGTCTCCACATGCAGCTGTCTCCCATGTGCAGCTGTCTCTACATGCAGCTGTCTCCACATGTGCAGCTGTCTCTACATGCAGCTGTCTCCCATGTGCAGCTGTCTCTACATGCAGCTGTCTCCCATGTGCAGCTGTCTCTACATGCAGCTGTCTCCCATGTGCAGCTGTCTCCCATGTGCAGCTGTCTCTACATGCAGCTGTCTCCCATGTGCAGCTGTCTCTATATGCAGCTGTCTCCACATGCAGCTGTCTCTATGTGCAGCTGTCTCCACGTGCAGCTGTCTCTATATGCAGCTGTCTCCCACGTGCAGCTGTCTCCACATGCAGCTGTCTCCCATGTGCAGCTGTCTCTACATGCAGCTGTCTCCACATGTGCAGCTGTCTCTATGTGCAGCTGTCTCTATGTGCAGCTGTCTCCACGTGCAGCTGTCTCCCATGTGCAGCTGTCTCCCATGTGCAGCTGTCTCCACGTGCAGCTGTCTCTATATGCAGCTGTCTCCACGTGCAGCTGTCTCTATATGCAGCTGTCTCTATGTGCAGCTGTCTCCCATGTGCAGCTGTCTCTATATGCAGCTGTCTCCCATGTGCAGCTGTCTCCACGTGCAGCTGTCTCCACGTGCAGCTGTCTCCCATGTGCAGCTGTCTCTATATGCAGCTGTCTCCCATGTGCAGCTGTCTCCACGTGCAGCTGTCTCTATGTGCAGCTGTCTCCACGTGCAGCTGTCTCCACGTGCAGCTGTCTCCCATGTGCAGCTGTCTCCACGTGCAGCTGTCTCTATGTGCAGCTGTCTCCACGTGCAGCTGTCTCCCATGTGCAGCTGTCTCTATGTGCAGCTGTCTCCACGTGCAGCTGTCTCTATGTGCAGCTGTCTCCACGTGCAGCTGTCTCTATGTGCAGCTGTCTCTATATGCAGCTGTCTCCCACGTGCAGCTGTCTCCACATGCAGCTGTCTCTATGTGCAGCTGTCTCTATATGCAGCTGTCTCCCACATGCAGCTGTCTCCCATGTGCAGCTGTCTCTACATGCAGCTGTCTCCACATGTGCAGCTGTTTCCCACGTGCAGCTGTCTCTATATGCAGCTGTCTCTATGTGCAGCTATCTCCACGTGCAGCTGTCTCCACGTGCAGCTGTCTCTATGTGCAGCTGTCTCCACGTGCAGCTGTCTCTATGTGCAGCTGTTTCCCACGTGCAGCTGTCTCTATATGCAGCTGTCTCTATGTGCAGCTATCTCCACGTGCAGCTGTCTCCACGTGCAGCTGTCTCCCATGTGCAGCTGTCTCTATGTGCAGCTGTCTCCACGTGCAGCTGTCTCCCATGTGCAGCTGTCTCTATATGCAGCTATCTCCACGTGCAGCTGTCTCCACGTGCAGCTGTCTCTATGTGCAGCTGTTTCCCACGTGCAGCTGTCTCCACATGCAGCTGTCTCTATATGCAGCTATCTCCACGTGCAGCTGTCTCTATATGCAGCTGTCTCTATATGCAGCTGTCTCTATATGCAGCTGTCTCTATATGCAGCTGTCTCCACGTGCAACTGTCTCCATGTGCAGCTGTCTCCACATGCAGCTTTTTGACATTATGATAAACATCTTGGCTGCTTTGAGCTTCTGTCGGGACAGGGACCTCTTTCTGCTGCTGGATCCTCACTTCTACACAACACCTACAACAAGCTCTTATTTAACAAACTTTAGAGTTCATGTGAGAATCCTGACTAGAACTTTCAGGGCTCTACACAGTCAAGCTCCTCCCTATATTACTGAACTGTTAAAGACTTCTGCTCCAACCCGAGTCCTCACGTCCACCCACCATACCTTCTAGAAGCTCTAAAGGCCAGAGGCCTCATTTATCAACCGTACTAACAGACAGATCGGTGCGTAGGAAATAATTTATGCATTGTGTGGTGTTCATCTTGTCCGTGTGTGGAAATGTTCCTGAAGATCACTTCAGACCACGTGTAGGAACAGCATCTAGTGGTAGAACCGTAGAACGAGGTACCACAACACTGGAGGTCTCGGTCATCCACACATGTAACCTGGCAGCAGCCACATCTCTAATGGCGCTTACACACGAGTGTCAGTTCGGTGATTCCGAGACTGGAATTTGGTTGGTCAGGCGCTCGGCATGACTACAGCCTCAGAAACCAGTCGACCATGTGGGCCCAGTTACCCGGAGCTTCTTGGGTTAGTTAAATTAGCTAGTAGCTACACCAGTTAATTTGTTCCCAACGTAACAGCCCAGCCCTCAGCTCCACCTCCTTTCCCATATTTGGATTGTCTGGGTGTGTCGAGCCGTGTGACATGCTGAAGATGGTGGTAGGAACCTCCCATTTGGAAACCAGAACTATGGTCTGTGCCGTATACGTGTCGCTGGTGGGGTCACCGGGGCAGGGGGACATGGATAACTAGCATCATGCTTAATGAAGGTCATTTCACACGTAATCCTGCACTGGAACAATATTATTGGTATCTGGTACTTCACTGCTGAGGGCAGTAACTCACGGCCTCCATGGTGAAGTACAGCATTACCAAAACTACGCTGCTGCTCCCAGTGTTCATGAGCTGAACCCAAACATCTGAAACGTTTTCTACACCCATGGCATTCGCTAGTGACTAGCTAGCACTAGTTACTAACTCATCACAGTAAAACACGGTCGCTGCACGGGTGAAAATACGTTTAAAATGTGTGAGTGTGTTGGACAGCTGCTGTCCATCTTCTGTCTCCATCAGACTTAAAAAACAAGACTTTCCATCCTGTTGGTGCCTCCACCCGCGCACCAACGGTTCCATTTTACTGTGAAAGGGACAAAAGGGCTCTTAAGGCCGGCTTCCCAGGAGCTAACAGCTTCTCTGATGTCGTCATGGCAAAGGGGGCGGTCCCATGAGCAGCGTGATGTCATGTGTAAAAGGTCGATAGGGTTTATCACCTAAACAAAGTGGGTTTGTTTGCTGCGTACTTAGGGATGCGTACCTTTGACATTTGAATTGATCCGGTACTAATTACCGGTACCTACGAATCGATACCGGTACTTAATGGTACCAATTTTGATACTTTTGAGTGTTTAATATTTTAATTCTCTTTTATAATTAATTATATATTTTTCTCAATATATAACCATATTTGATAAATATCACGATAAATAACATACAACTGTTTGTATTTTAACATCGTCCTTGTAGTTTTATAAGCTGATAATTAAACTGAAGCAAACATCTTTACTGTGAACTAAATTTACTGTGTGTCTTCATTCCTTTTGCCGTCCTTTTTCAATTGATTTTTCCTACTGGGAAGTTAGAATTTCCGAGGAGAAAGCGAACGCACCATTAGCTGATAACAACGGTGGCAATGGAAGCTAACATATCAAGCTAACGTTATCTTAAACAGTTTATTTAACTGCTGGAGCAGATTAAAACTGTGATGCCTCACACTTAAATCGTTGTCGCTGGTTTCATCTTCACCCAATCACCCGTCGCATTTAGTAAAGTGAAGCCAAACTTTAGAGCGCGTTCATGTTCTTCTAGTCGTTAATTCGGAGTTCCGAGGAGAAAGCGAACGCACCATTAGCGAAACGGAAGCTAACAAATCAAGCTAACGTTATCTTACATTTTATTTACCTACCGGAGCAGATTAAGATGAGGATGTCTCACTTAGATAGTTGTCGCTGGTTTCATCATCACCCAGTTACCCATCACATTTAGTGAAGTGGACCCAAGCGTTAGGGTGCGTTCTCTCTACCATGCTGCTCTCTTTACAACTCGCTCGCAGCGACCGACGACATAAAGCTCTAGCACATGCGCAGCTGTCTAGGCAAGTTCTCGTTGTGAAGGACGGGTACCGAAACGAGGCACCGTTTCAAATGACGTGAATCGGTGCTCGGTCGGTACTGTGGAATTCGGTCGGTACCTTAAAAAGTACTGAATTCGGTACCCATCCCTATGCGTACTTTTTTACTCCTTCAGTCGTGGATGTAAAACGATTATCGTGTATATCGTCTGACTGTCGTCTGGGTCTGTCGCTTGACGGGGGAATGGTGGTGCTGTTGACGAAGTTAAAAGGAGGCAGCGTCCTCCTGACCAATCACAGGACTGAATGAATATTGAATGTGGGCCGTCTGTCTTTGCTAGCCTGTTGGAGAGCCCTTACGATGACGAATCATGATGGTGTGTGCTTCCACACCTCCACAGACAGAATTAAAATCTAGCCCAGGGCTATTCAATTCTGGGCCTGGAGGGCCGACATTCAGCATGTTTTAGTGGTTTCTCTGCTCCCACACACCTGATTCAGTTGTTGAATCACCAGTGCAGCAGCCTGTTAATCACCTGCTGATTGAAATCAGGTGTGTTGGAGCAGGGCTACAACTAAAACGTGCTGGATACGGCCCTGGGCTAGCCTGTTCTGTAGATTTGCTATTGCAGCTTTAATGAAAACATTTCATTTAACCCAGAAAGGCTTTAGGCAGGAAAAAATGTTCATCGTTTGAAATAAACAACGTTTTAGGAACCCCGACAGCTGCACCACGGCCCAGTTCACTGGTTCAGTTTTAACGTGGTTTACCAGACGCGTGCGCTGCCGCACATCGCACATTTGATGCACCAATACTTAGACGTACATGTGAACATGATAGCAATGTACTTTATCAGACTACAGAAACAACTTTTATTCTCAGTTCAGATGGGAGGCTGACTGGTGTGTGTGTGTGTGTGTGTGTGTGACAATCTACAAGTCCGTAAATGAAACACACGACCCTGTCGCCAGGTTTCCAGCCTCCTAACTGTTCCAAAGTTTGTTTCCACATTTTTCCGTGAAGTGCTTCCGTATGTGTGGAAAGTCCCGTCGGCAGTTCTCAGACCCGTGAGCAGCTTAGAAACCAGACTGATCTTTAAAGATGAAAGAGAAACTGAAACCTTTTTAACGTGTTTTACATGATACAACATTAGTTATTCTGATCATGTTTCACATTCAAACAGAACATCAAAGTAAACAAGTTCAATCGGGACCAGAACCCATCAGGTCAGCACACAAGTCTGGCACCAACACAGGACCTGAGAGAACCACTGTGGGTCGGGTTAAAGCATTAGAACCGTTCACCCGTCAGCCAGACCGGCCCGGTGCCCAAACTGGGATTCTGGAGACAAAGCAGCTTGTGTCATCTGACATTTCTGCAGCGTTTGACCTCTGACCCAAGCTCCACATTCTGATTGTCATCTGAAAAGCATCCCGGTAACTAAACCCGACTCCTTCAGCAACAGTCACCAGAACCATGTTTGGGCTTTTAGCAGCGGAGAGCATCTCCGACCAGGAATGACGCGTGGGATTCCGATCGGAGTTAGGGTTAGGACATGGGCTGAAACAAGGATACAGGAAATGAGTCACTCAGACGCAGTTGAAGGCACAGAATAAATACAACTAACTCGTCACTAATGAGTTTGTTACCAACTAGCTACTACCTACTTAATGGCAATTCTTCACAAATGAGTTATCAATTCTTTACTAACTTGATTCTAACTAATTAGTACTAGTAACTAACTCGTTAGTGTGGAGTTATGACTGAGCTACTAACTTGTTAGCACTAGTTACTGACTCAGTACTAACTCCTTTCTAACTAATTAGTACTAGTAACTAACTAGTTAGTGTGTAGTTAGTACTGAGCTACTAACTCGTTAGCACTAGTTACTAACTTGTTTCTAACTCATTAGTAGTTACCAACTTGTTAGTGTGGAATTAGTAATAAGCTACTAACTAATTAGTACTAGTTACTAACTCATTAGTGTGGAGTTAGTACTGAGCTACTAACTTGTT